CCAGTTCAAAAGGTTATCCAAACCTGCATTACCTGCCATTAACAAAGGTATTTGGATTGTGAGAATAAGTCCCACTATGTTAAGAACATAAATGAATGCAGTGAGCGGACACTGGTAATCTCAGAGTACTTTGTGTCCCAAGCAAAAAACTCTTGCAATTAGTGAAATTCAAGTATTTTGTAATGTGGATATTTAAGCTGACGTCTACCATCGCAGGTTTCTTAATAATTGTATAATATTGGATGGAATGGGTTAATGCTTTTTAAGATAAGATGGGAAATAGTCCTCACATCCTGACCGCAATCAATGAATAAAGTACCCAAAGACAAAATACATTTTAACATTTCATTATGATCTTTTTGAGTGGCTTCAGGGGGAGGGGCTGACAGTGGGGCCAACTTAGCAACTTTCTTGTTAGATAACGCTACCTATTTCATCTGAAGGACTTGGAAAGATTGAGCTTGGTTTTTCAGTTTCTTACTTTAAAAAATCTAGCTCTCCAAATGTATATTGCATGAATTGGGACTGATATTCCCAACATGGCTTTCATATTTTACTCAAATCGAATCTTAAAATGACTCGAGCACTAAAAAAGGTTGTTAATGTTATCGTAGCTGTGTGCTTTGTATTCATCAAGAATACACCCCGCTTGTCTAAAGTAAACAATGTTTTGTTTTGTGAAGGGATTTGCACCATGATTGCCATTTCTTGGTACGCAGCCAACATCACGCAGCAGTTCTTTGATCAGTTTTATCCAGGGACAAAGTGAGTAAATACGTTCTGCATCACTACGTTGGGAAGAGTGGCTCAATATCTAATGTTTTCACTCTTATTGTGTCACAGGTATGAGATTGGAGAGGGCCTGTATATCGGCTGGTCTTCAGGCACACTTGCCATTTGTGGAGGAGCATGCCTGTTGTGTGCTTGCAAAGTCAACGATCCCAACGAGAAAATGTGAGTATGTGTTGAGCAAACTTTTGGCATTGAGTGTGTCTAGTGTTAGAAAAATATCACTCGTCACCGGCTTGAGCTTCAACATCAAGATCCATGTATTTGTGATCCTCTCCAGAATGGAAGTAGTCATCACATACAGAGCATCAACTAGTTCCTGAACAGTGTCCTTCACATGCTGATATCCAAGAGAGGGAGTTACACAGTCACTAGATGGAGGAATAGAAAGCAGTATTCAATGTTTACTTC